CTCTCCTGGGGTGGGATGGGTGGGAATTGGCCCTGAAAAGCCCCCATGGGGAGTGGTCAATTAACGTATGTAAATAGAATAAAACGAAAAGCATAGCTTTCAGTTCACTTTTATATAAAAATATCAAAAAATTTGGGAAGCAACTTTTGAAATTTAGGTAGCGACTTTTTGGCTCCAGTGAGCAACGTACCAGCACTTTACGAGCGTAATCGGGACGGGGCTATTCTGTAATCATTATTGTGCGTCTTTTTTTTAATTTAAATATTTTTCCACGCCACTCGATTTGTTACAGCCTGGATCAGGTTGCAACTGCAATGATATAGTGAAAGATCAGCTTAGACATTTTCGCTTACTTGCAGTACGTGCCCTGGAGATGGGATCTGGAATGCTGTTTCTTCCACCATCTTTTTGTTTCGAACACATTGCAAAAGAGCTGACGCAAAGGCTTATGGGACACACACCAAGTCTACTACTTAATAATTATAGTGTGCAACAACAATGTTTCCACTCCGATGCAAACTGCAACGAAACTTTTGTGTTTTCTTTTCCCACAACGGTAAAGGGCCTTGTCGCTCTTGAATAACAAGAACAATCTCCCTTGCTTTTGTAAAGAACTCCAGTAAGTAGGCTTTAATAACAAATAAGGGATTTTGTAACAGTAAAGAACTGTACAGTGTGTCATTGTAAATCAATAATAGCTTTGCAATCGTTATTTAGGTGACGAGTAGTTGCTGACATGAAGTATCTTCAATCTCGTGCTGATCTTTTAAGTGGAGAGTGTTACCTTGTTGATTTGCACTTAGCCTATAATGGTTTTGGCGCCAGAGCGTTGTCCCAGGTAGTCTGGTGACCAACCCCCCCCCCCCTTCCGTTTAATCTAAAGTCGCGACGAATTCAATACTGAACATTACGGTCAACCAGAGATCACATAAAGATGTATCAGATGTATGGAATGCCCTACGAATTGTAAGTTACATTTCGTTGAACTCTCAAAGGTTATTTTATATTTAGTACAATTTATCTATTTGTTTTGTAGTTTGACTGTTTCCTCTGGCAATTAGTACGATAATAATAATGGGTCATTATACATCTGTGACCTTCAAAGCTACAGTAACGTTTCTCATCGCAAGCGCGAACTACTTGTAGCTTACCTTTGTCACTGGGCACGCATGAAAGTCAAATGCCCGTGGGCTGCCATAGAGGTAAGGGGGATATTGAAACTTCTAATTGATCGGTGCAAGTGATTTTCTGAGAAGTAAACACTAAAAAATATCTTGTCCTTAAAAGGGAAAAAAGTTGCTGAACGAAGTTCCTTTTCTTTTTTCCCTGCCTTTATTACAAAATTTTTCTAAGGGTCTCAATGAGGCTGATCGATAGCCGTAAAACGCCCTAATAAATAAGCAGTTAGGCGTAAATTTGATAAACTTTGACCATTGGTCGTAAAATTAGTTAAAGGCAAAAAAAGTTCATGGTGACCTCAATGGAAAGATAAACTAGCCAAAATTTAAACGGCTAGCCATAGAAACTATCAACCCGTTGAGACCCTCTTTTAATTGAGAAACACCTATGATACATCAATTAAGCTGAAAATAAAGTTACAGAAATATAATTTACGGTGGAAAAAGCTCCTAAGATATAATACAGCTATGCCTACATTTCTACGTTACATACATTACATTCTTTAGTGACCAAATAGTTTTATCATTAGCTTCCACTTACTTAAGAATCTATCCTAATGGGAAAATTCACATATCAATTCTTCAATATTATATCAAAACTTTAGGTAGCTTTGTACACTAGTAAAATTGTGGTTACCTCCTTCCATTTTTACATTTGTAAAACAAAAAAAAAACTCTACTACTAAAATGATAAAGTTAATTGCATTTTTACAGGGCAAACAGTTTGGGTAGAGAACAGATTCGGGGGAGAACTTTAATTCAGTTTTTGTTATCTTTCAAGTTCATTTGTGAGAGCATTCCAGAGTGCTAAGATTCGGTCACAACACCAAAAGAGGTGCTCTATGGTTTCAGGTTTGATATCACAGAAAAAGCACTCGTCGCGATCCTTAAAACCCATTTTCATAAACAACACATTAGTGCCAATAGTTCTATAAAATGTCCTAACTTGAAAGCTGCTAAACTTCCCGGAACTTGTATCTAAGAAAAAAGGGTACTATAATAAGTTGAACTGAGTTCTTGTAAATGTACTTCGGATAAAATCTTTACTATACATAAATCCTAACATGCCCACATCATAAAGGAATTGAAAACTTCTTCATATCTATTTTGAACGTATGATTTTGAGTTTTGACCGTCAAGTCACCAGAATTGGCGAGAAACAGGCTCCTTGGCTAAATCATATCATTATGGAATACATGCTGTATTTAGATAATCCATGAAACTAGTTCCGTTTTGTTTTGGCTGTTTTGTTTTTTTTTTAAGGTGTCGTCTCGAAATATTAATTCAGATCAAAGAAAACACGTGCAAAGGGTTCATTTAAGTCATAGTAAGGAAAAAAACTCTGTCACTTCACATCGATAAATATAAAAAATGCAGTATGGATACATAAGCCTGGGGTATCCTTTAACCAGACTTCTTTACTTGAAGAATAAAATCGACATCGACAAATTGCCTCATCTCAGTGACGCTAGCACAAAATGTCCATATTTAACAACTGACTGTGACATTCTGAAGTTTGAGTATTGAGAGTCCTAAATCACCTGCACATATTTAGCCTAAATCTACCATTTTTTATTCATATTTCAGATGTCAAACGTCAACGAATATAAAAAAGTGCTGATCAGTCTAATTAAATAAAGGTTAAACAGTAAATGGATTAGAACCGGAAGTAAAATATGATTATGTAAGCTAATCGTCCGGGTCAGAGAAGTCCCGAGTAGCTATTACTGACATTTTGACAATCATAGCGTAAGTCAACTCTGATTATGAGTTCCAGTTGTCATAACGTCAGTTTCTACTGCCACCAAAAATCCTTCCCACGACTATTCTCAGCTGAATGAACACACATCCCCTATCAAGGGCTGTTATAGAGTTTTTGAACACTATATGAAGACAATAAAACACTAAACAATTAAATAAAAAAGGAAATTTCGTAAAGATTATTCCTTGGAAAATGCTCACGATTAAAAACATCCCCTCAGCTTTGTTCCCTGGGCCCTCTCTAATTTCTCGAAGGTAGAAGAGGAGAAGGACCAAGGACAGAGGCTGTCAATCACTCATTGCAACCTGTCTGACTGTATAGAGGATGACGACAGATTGGACAGCTGCGACTGCAAATTAAAAGGAAAGATTTCATGAATCTAACTTTCTTCGAATAAGAGTGAAAAAATTTAAGTCATAAAATTAAGTGTAACATCACGGTTAAGACTAAAAGAGTCTGCAAAGCTCACTATTGACCTGACATGTCTGTGGATTCAAAACTGTACGTGTTCCCACGCTGCAGGCAAAGAGAAATATTCTCTCGAGTGTCGTTGACTAAAACCAAACTGATCACAACAGCCAATCAAAAGTTAACATCACAAGGAGCTTGTGAGATTCGATCTAAACAAACTAAAGCTGCCTCAAGGAAAACGCGAAAACATTTCATTGCGCATTTCGTTTAGAGCTTTAATAATCGAGAGGATGCATCGAGCTGCTAAACTGATCGGATAGGAGAGTGGAGCAAAATCAATGCAAAACAAAATTGAGTTCTACACTCAATAGAAAATTGCTTTATGAACACCTTCCGTTGGCCAACTGCTCCCCACCCTCTACCACAACTCCACATGCAAACCCGATTCAGAGCTCAAGTGGACTTTAAGTGTTTTTCACTATGTTGGTTCATTGATGAAAAAATCATGTCACTTTGAGCATACTTACACGCCATTTTGTATCATTGCAATTGCACACTCTCTGTGAACCTTGTGTGAGCATGGCAGAATTTGACAGCCACTGAACGCATCCTGGAAATACAGGTTCGGAACGTGTTAAGTATACTCAGGTATTATCAAATGAATATTACTTTTACCAATATTACTTCTTCCCAAAATTCTTACAACGTTTCTATGTGCGCTGAAAACCCATGTTAAGAAGAATTAAAGTGCTATGATTGAATAATGTCAGATTTCTTATTCAAAAATTGCATGTGCCAGATGTCATTTTCGGCGTCCAACTGAACAAGACTGTTTTTAAGACAAAAGGGATAAATCTGTTGATCAATATTCCCCATGGCAGAGTCGATTTTGGGTGCAACTGCGGCCACGCGTATTTATTCTCTATCAACAGTTTGTAAAAGCCCACGCTCCTACTATACGCTAATAAAAGGAAACGTCAACGGTTAAGATTAAGATTGATACGAAGAACATTTACCTTAATGATGTCCAGACTCAACTTTAGTGACAAATCTTCAGCTTCTCTATATTAACTGTACATAAATAATGATCTAAAACTCTAAATCTATAGATAGGACAGAACAAGCAAACATAACATTTCACAACGATGCAATATAACCTGTGACAGTACAAACGATGACAAAATCTATAAACATCGACAACTAGCAGACGCGACAAACACAAAACCCGGTGAAACGAACAAAACAGAGAAAACCCCTTCTCTAGAAGTATTGCAGCAATACAGAGTTAATATGAAGAGTAAATCATTACCTCCAAACAGATGCAGCACTCGTCATGTCCTGAATTTTCTCGACAGGAATGTCTGCCTTCCAGCCGTTTGTCCAAACAAACGTTACACACATCACAATGGAAGGAGCGGTCCTTGAAGATGCTGAACCGAAAATAAGAACATTACTTCGTAGGCAAATCGAGCAGAACTCATCATGACTCAATGAGAAATTAAATTCTGATGCAAAATAAAACACTTGTATTTTTACTCGATTCGATTTACGAACTACTGAAAAGAAAACTGGATGCCTATGAGGAAACAAAAACTGATATTCAGTCATGCTCAATATTTTATGAATAAGACTTCGCAAAGGCGAATGTAAAAAACACTGGTAGTGGTAAGTTTCATGCGCGGATCGATCTGGTGTTCTCTCATGCTAAATTTTGCTCTCGCCCTAAGGCTGGCACCAGAATTCTTCATTCCAACGGTAACACTTGGTATTGAAGCAGGCAGGTCATCAAACAAGCAAAAAAACACGGAATTACGTCAAAAAAATCGTTTCACGTACCGGCAGATCCCACATTTTTTGCAGTGATATGGATTTTTGTCTGTGCTTGTGAAGTGTTTGCATACAGAGCAGAAATATGCCGAGAACTTTGTTTTACATCTGGCACAGGTGTGGGCGTCCTGGTTGATCTTAAAAAAATCAACCATAAAAAGCAAATCACATAAAGTTTAAACGCGACCCTCTGTACACAATTATAACATTTTGTATCAGTGACATGTCCGCATACCTCTTGTTGATGGCCACAAACAGAGCACTCAAGAAAGTATCCCTCTCTTGCTTTGGAATTATCATTTGAACACCCAGAGTTGTTGTGGCAACGATGACAAGGAAAGAACTTTCCGCAGCATGGGAACTTCACACGGCAAAGCCGCTGATAATGTTCACACAACCATTGCTGACCCTCAGCACTAGCCGTGTTTTGCGAAGGTGTTTCTCGTCCACCGCTCGTCGGGTTTCTGGCTTCTTCTGTGTCATTGCTGCACTCCGTTTGTCATACTTCTCTTGCCTCCCTCTCTCTTCTTTCACGTGCTTGTTGCTCTTTCCTGGCTCGCTCTTCTTTTTTTCTTCGCTCTTTTTCTTTCATCGCCTTTTCTTTTACTTCCCTTTCTTTCAAGGTGTTTTGGACAAAGGAACAAGTTTCAGCCACTCTTCGCTCCAGGTCAGCTAAGGAATCATCACATGACTGTAACGAACTATTGTTCAAGACACCCAATGGCCCTTGATTATCAGTGTCCTGATTTGCAACTGTCCTTCTTTCCCATGTCAGATTTCTGTTCTTGGCTCCTTGTGGTAGAGCCGAGATTTCCGTTTCAGGAGAGACCATTCCTTGTGTAATTGTGGTGGTATTAGTTACACGCGCAGGATTTCCATTCATTACTTTAAAATCACAGTTTCTCTCCCGTTGTACCACAGGATCAGTACATTGATTATTGACTTTTCTCTGTTGTGGCGAAAGGGGTGTTTGGGCCAACAGCGTGTCATCGTTGGCCACAGCATACGGAGGTACCACTACAATTCCCGGGACATCACTGGAAAGGGTTTGGAGATGTCCAGATCCAAACGATGGCGCTTGAAAGGAGTATATACTTTGAGAGCCTTGCTCATTGTTGAAACAAGACGACCCTTGATGCCTTGAGAAGGTTTTGGAAGACCATCCATTGGCATTTTCCTTTGTATTCCCTATGTCATCGATAGCAGTGGTAATGCTACTGTCATCTGCGTGACGAGCAAGGAAGCAAGGATTTATACCAAAGGAATTTGATTCTTTTTCATCTATGGTGTTTTGCATATCATCTCCTCGTGGTCGAACCTTCTCAGGCTTTGCGTCTTTGTCGTTCCAGTAAGAAATCGATTCAAGATTCTTGTAACTTAATCCCCTCTCGGAGCAAGATGGATCTTGTCCTCCACCTTCAAAGCCTAGAAATGTCCCATGTCTTGTGTTTTGAGTTCTTCCTGATAGATCCCCTTCATTCATGCTTTTCCTCTCTTGAGAAACCTTCAGCGGCCTCGAATGGATTTTACATTCTTTATTTGGTCGGTCTTCATCCGTGTCATCATTACACCGACTGGTTGTGGCAGCGGCAACGGCACCACCATGTCGCTTCATCTTATCGGTATTCAGTCGTGGAAGGTTGTCAGCTACAGCACGTTCCCTTTGAAAAGGTGGTTCAACAGATCCTGTCGAGGAATGAGGTTGACAATTTTGAATTTCAGTTATATTACGCGCGGCGCTTTTCACTGAACCATCAACTTCATCATCCATAGAATGCCTTAGCCAATCATCGGTGTGAATACACTTGTCAAGGTGTTTTTTACTCTCACATAATTTACCATTCGTCTCAACTTTCAAGTTTAATGGTAATACTGGTGGTGGTTGATTTGTTTCACCTTTCTCTGTGTCATTGCTAGTGTATTTGAATTCTAAAACACTGGGATAAGCCATGCTGAAGCTCTCTTCCTCTGAATTTGCAAATTTTGGAACTTCTCTTCCACTTTTCTTTAATTCTGAGGCACAGGAAGAGACGGAATGCACTGAAGATTTACCTTTCTCTGCTGGTTCTGACCTTGGCCCACTGGAGATCTCTTCAGTACTTTCTTCACCGGAGGATGATGATGGTGAAGATAATGATGACGATGAAGATGATAATGAAAATGACGATGAAGGTAATGATGATGACGAACTTACTTCACTAGATGATGATGTGGGCTCTACCGCGTTTTTAGACTCATCAGAGTGACTGAGATCTGTTTGGGTACTAAGATCAGATGTTGAAGGAATACTCAAGGAATCTGTTTGTGTCCATGATTCCGACAGGAACGACTGTCTGAGAGGCAAGGGTGGAGGAGAAGTAAAGCGCCCTGGACGTTCGGCTTTATGCTGCAGTTCCAGCATCTGGTGCCCCTAAGAACGGAACGAATTAAAAATTATAACATAGCCAAACATTAACTTGTGATCTAAATGTGGGGATTTAACGTAAAGAAAAGCTGTTCTTTCCTTTAAAAGAGAAAAAACTTTAAATGTCTTTGATGTAATGCATAAATCCCGTAGGCAAGCTGATAAAGCGGAAAGAAACATTTTTACTCCGACCTTGTCATTATTGCGACTTTTTTACGTCTGTAAGCAGCTGGATTTTGCATATAGTAAATACACCGTCGCATTACAATGGTTTGTCACCATAGTTAAAAAACAATTTTATGTCTACAGCGATAAATAAAACGTTCAGAACACTTACTCTCATTGAAATATCCCTTGCGTTTCCAAGCAGATTTGACGCAATACACCGGGACTTATCACTTTGTGTCTCGAAATGAATTCCAAAATTACGAGCACATTTTTCCATTTTGTCAGCGATGACCATCTCAATAAGAGAGCAATTGCACAGTGGAACTTCTTCTTGGACAATCTCCACTTTTCTTAGGCTTTGAGATAAGTGAATCAACTGGGTCCTCACTTTGATGGTGTTTTCATGACACTGCATAACGATTTGCCCAATAGGTGGACCTTGGATTATGAACACGAGCTGGCTATCTTTGACAACCACATTCACAACCTCACCAAGCTCGTCCTCATTGGTTAAAATTTGCTTTAAAAGCTTTCCGAATAATAACTTCGCAAATACTATGTCTTGTAAAATAAATTCTAGGCTTCCTTCACAAGTGTTCTCTGTGTTGACGAGAACCGGAGATTGCGTTTCAAATTCTGATCTATCCTTAGCGGCTGATAGCAAGAGTTTCAAAAGGGAAAAACGACCATAAATCCCAGAGAGAGAGGTCTCCGATGAGTCTAGGAGTTCCAGTTCTATAAAATACTGTGTCGAAAATTCTATATTCTGATGACTGCATAAGAGCAAATGGGGCAGACTGTCTTCTAATGCGTTCACGCTAAACGCGTTTATGTGATTAAGTGCTGAAACATCAATTCCACGAGTTATTGGACACTCCACGAGGAATCTGCAAGGTCCTTTCCACTGAGTATTGTCAGATTTGAGCACCAAAGTTTTGAAAATTTTCGTCGATCCCCTTTCTCCCAAGTTGTCATCTTCATGTTGAGATTTTGTAAGCTCCTTACTTTGAAAGTTATAGGGAGCATCTTCATCGTTTTTGTCAGTGATTTTTCGATTGTACATCACGCCAAGAGGCGTCAAAAAAATTAGGTCATGCATGAATTGTTTGCCACGACATTGTATGTTTGAAATATAAAGCGCAAACCGAATCTCTTCAACGAGCAATACATGAGTTATCTGCGGAGACTGTTGGTTTGACAGTAAAGTAAACAAACTATGCACAGTGTTCACCATCTCGTACATTTCCATTTCTATAAAAGACTGAAGGACTAGTGCTAAAGCGATCATCAAATTTGTATTTTTGTCAAAAAATATAGTTTTCCTTCCTGGTTTATCAACTCTGTTCGCTTTTTCCTCAATGAAGTTCTTCAACCGTCCGAATTCAGTTTTTAATCTCTCTTGAACTTCCGGGAAGGTTTGACTCGTCTTGGATTTGAGATGACACACAAGGAAAATTACTTTCACTAGAATGACTTCAGAACAATCACAATGATCATAAAGCATACTTGCATATGTACACGAGAGAAAGAGAAAAGCGACACTTTGTTTAACTCCAAGATTAAACAAACGAAGACCAGCTTTCAGCCAGTTAAAACACAGCTTTGCACATAGGTCTTCGGGAAGCTGGGAGACGGAGGAATCCACACAATCCTCACTATCTAAGTGTACTCCTGGACAATCGTCGAGATCACCCGGTTGATACTGGTTGAGAACCCGGGCTATTTCCACCCCAAACTCGGAAGCCAGACTTTGACACTTTCCTTGCTCTTCGCCATCTGTATCAGGAGAAAGTGCTCTTCTGCCTCTTTGATACAATTCTAAGACGTTTGGCTTCAGTTGACGCTCAAATGAGACCTGGCAAATTCTCTCTACATTTTCCAGAACTCTCTGACTATGTATTATAGATTTTTCTTCAGATCCAGCCAGTAATTCCAGCCTCGCAAGACCTGCATTGCATTCGAGAACATCAGGGTGAACAGCACCAAAAGTTCCTGTGAAAATCTCTAATGCAGCGGTGAAACATTGCCTGGAGTGTGCAACGTTTTCCAAGTGGAGGAAAACAATTCCCTGCTTTGACAGTATAGAAGCAAGTGTTGGGTGATCCGCACCACATCGTTCACGAACAACCGGTACAAGATAGGAGAAATAACTACAGACGAGGTCAAGATTACCTTGATAAAGGTGAATGTCGGCCACAGTCTCCACAATTGTGACTAAGAAGTCTAAGGAAAAGTCTGTACTTACATCAACAAGTTCCTTCAGCCCTTGCAAGGTCAAAATCTTAGAGTCAATAGCTGTCGTGCTTGCATTAGAGGCTTGTAGCATCAAACAAACTGAACGGATTTTTAACAAAATGCAGGTTAACAGTCCCTTACTTTGATCTAATTCTGTTTCACAAAATTTTTTCAAGTTCTCAAGCTCGCCTAAAGCTCTTCTGAGATTTCTATTATACACAGAGGTTAGGGCTTCATTGTAATAAACTACTGCAATAATTCTTGGTTGTATGGGGAAGCGGCTTACATTTTGCAATTGGAAGTCAGCTATATGGCTCCTCTGAGCTTGATACACTAGTCGTAAGTTGTTACCTATCGTTACGATTGTCTCCTCAGCTGTGACACACTGTTTTCCTTCTTTGACTACCTCAAGAGCTCTTTGGAGACTAAACTTTGCTTTTTGATAACTTCCTTTGACTATATAAACGCAACCTAAGTTATTGAGGGCAACGCCAAGGCTTACAACCGATTCTTCAGCTTGCTCAATGTACTCTTTTAACTGGTCAAGTACTTTCTCAGCTATATCAACATAAATCGTGATTAAAGCTACAGCACCAACGACATTGACAAAGCGGACAAAGACGTTGTTCTTAGAAGACGTTTGGGGCAACAAAATTGCCCCAGTTCGAAGACTCCACGCCACGTTCCCTATCGATATTTCCTCTGCCTTGTTTATTACCTCTATCTCCTGTAAAGTTTGTTTTGATAACTCACATGGCGTCAAGTCTTGGAAATACTGATGATTTTTTTGTAGTGATTTTTTCGCTTGAACTAAGTTCCCCTGCTGCAGATGATAAATCGTTGATTTAAGGAATTCTATCCTGTCGAGGAGATCCATTTTCTTTGTTTCTAGGATAGAGAAAACAGCTGGTTCATTCGGAGTTAAATCCCTGAGCTAAAGCTTATCTAAAGAGTTCTTTGCTCCACCATAGAATTCATTTTCAGGCGGACTAAAATGAAAACTTAAAGAAAACTGATACCTGAAAGAGTCCTCTATAGTTTGTTTGTTTGTTTGTTTTTGTATCTATTTATTTAAGGGAACAGTCATTGGGGGGGGGATGACTTGTCATTAACAGAGTTTAAAGGGGGATCATAGAAAATTAACTGCTAATGGAGGAGGATGGGGGAAGGGGGGAAAATCAGGTAAATTTCATCGTGAAACAACAAATTGACCAGTCCCTGAACGCGCCTTCCACAAATCCTCGACTACACAAATACTTCCACTTGCAGTTAAATGAAAAAAAAAGCGCAGTTCACTAAGCTCTGATTCGCAGCTCGTCCACGATTAGACTCCCAATTACTCGGCTGTTACGTGATGATAATAGCGAGCCATAAGTTATTCTAGAGGGATTTACGAAGAGAAGACTTCTACTTCAGATAGGAGATAAGATTGATTGCAAACAATTTGCTAGGAAAGGTCATTCAACAACTCATGCCCTCGTTTAGCTACTACAAGCAATCCACGAGGCTATTCACCGTGGAAATAACTGTGTTAGGATCTTCTTCTCGGACTTCTCTTCTCTTGATCGACCATCAGATCCTTATGGAGGAATTATCTCTGCTCGGTGTGGACCCAGTACTATTCAATTGGATAAGATCTTTTTTAACAAATAGAACTCAAGCCTTGCGCATCGGGAACGTTTTATCGGATTGGAAGTATACCCATGGAGGTATACCCCAAGGGGCCAAGATGGGTGTCACCCTTTTCTCGGTCATGATAAATAGGCTCCTAAGGGATTGGAATGTGAGAGCAAAATATGTTGATGATGCCACATTTGTAGAAATTCCCCCTCGCAATTCAATAAGCCTTCTCGATTTGGCTGTTAGGGACACACACTCATTTTGTATTGACCGTAAAATGAAGTTAAACCTTCGGAAGTGTAAAGAAATGCTGATAAATTTCATGGAGTACCCGAACACTGCTATTCCACCAATTTGCATTGGAAATCACCAGCTCGAACGTGTCTCATCTTTGAAATTACTTGGTGTTAAAATCAGAGACGATCTTAAATTGGAATGACCACACAGACTATATTGTAAGGCCGCCAAACGCTTATATACCTTAAGAGTGCTCAAAAGAGCTGGTGTAGCGAATAGCAATGTTGTAAATATTTATAAGTGTACTGTTAGATCTATTTTAGAAAATGCCGTGGCTGCTTGGCAAGACATCTCTGAATATTTGTCATCCAAATTAGAAACTATACAAAGGAGAGTCCTAGCCTTAAGAGAGTTTTTCCGGGTGTTACTTATAAGGAAGCCCTGACCATATCTGGCCTCCCAAGCCTAGAAGTCAGGTGAGAAACATTAAGCAGGAAGTTCATTGCGACATGGAAACTAATGTTGTAATGTTCCTTATAATCTTAGATCTGGGCGTGAAAAGTCTGTTCGCCAGGAGGCAAGAACCAAGAGAGCTAATGACTCAGTATAACTTTTAGATTCTTAGATCAATTATTACGTAGACTATACATTACTATACTTTAATTGGATTTAACAGTTTTGTAAATGATACTGCTTGATAATTCAGTTTGTACATAGTTTCAACTGAAAATAGTAGATTAAACGATATTTATTATTATTATTATTATTATGATTATTATTATTATTATGGAAGTGAAATAGATGTACATGTCTGGGCAACTTTCTTATCCTTAAATACATACCGTTCCGTCACCCCATGTCATCCAACACTTCCGATTTTGATTACATTTGAATCAGTCGACAGGAGATAACCTACAAAAACTAGAAACCGAGCGAAAATCGTTAATATGCTCTTGTTTCAGAAGGAATGAGAACCCCTTCCTAGATTACTATACGATTTAAGAAGGTTAGCTCGCTGATTCTTATTTGGATTGGACGCCATTATGCAATTTGTTAATTGTTGTTAGATTTAGTGGAGTCAAATATGCAAATCAATCATTTCATGACTCCGTAAAGCATATGATTACGTGAAGCATAATAAACTATGCTGATCTTTCGAGAAAGCATAAGAATGTTTAGTTACACACCAGAAGCGTGTACAAAACAGAAGATTCTAACTCGCTTGTGAAACACTTACGTGAACTTTCTCTTAGCATGTTGTTAGAAAGAAATCGCTGAAGTCTGCGGAGAAGTACAAATTAGGCGAAGTAAATTAACACTAGAGTTAGCGTCTGTTGTAAATTTTTCAAAGGTGATTACCTCGTCCGTCGGTTTTCTTTTCTCAGAACGAATCAGCAGCTTTCGTTCCAATGCAGTTAGAATTACCTCTCACTAATTAATCGAGGAAGATAGAAAAATACAAAGTTGGTCAACAAGTCCACAGCACGATCAGTTCCATTCCAAAAGCGAGATTAAATTGGCGCCAAGTCTGTTGCACTCTTGCAAGCATTTGTTTAAAAATGTGCATGGTGAAATATCATTTCAGAGTATTGACAATCAAGCTACAAGTCTTAAAAAATCAAATTTCATGACCGAGTGTTGGATTTTGTGTCAGTGCTGATTAACCCCGGCAGATAAAGAATCAAATCACGAAGAAAACGTTCTCCAGAAAACGACTTAGCACTTTTCCACGAATTTTCACATTTTGGCTCCAAAAATATTAGGGGTTTTACAAACTATAATTTAGAATTTCCGCGACTCCGCAGTTACTCGATTAGATCGGAATCGCGGAAATGGATACATCCATTCATTCAAAACAGTCAAGTACTTGAAATCTTCTGCCAATATAACGGGAATTCCTGCATCGCTAAGTTGAAATCGAGGGGTACTTACCTGTTGTTATTTCTTCATACACCTGCTGAAACAGGTTTACTGCAGATGGGTACACTGACTCAGTTCTATCGAACGCCGCCTAATCCTCGTGATCTGTGACCCCTCGTGAGTCAATAGCTGACCATCACATGATGAAAAAGATGCAAAGGAGATATCAAAATATTTTTCAAATCGAAGCCATTAATAGCATTTGGTTAGTAATAAGTTACATATCATTAGAGTCTTCAAAGAGCTCGTTTCGCAAATTACAGATTTACATATCTGTAATTTGCGAAACGGTGCACTTCTGACCTTTTGGCTCAAACTCTATATTTACAAATCATCACTGCATCGAGTTGTATCTACGAAAAGTGTTATAGAATCGGAAGAAATAAGTTACATATCATTAGAGTCTTCAAAGAGCTCGTTTCGCAAATTACAGATTTACATATCTGTAATTTGCGAAACGGCGCACTTCTGACCTTTTGGCTCAAACTCTATATTTACAAATCATCACTGCATCGAGTTGTATCTACGAAAAGTGTTATAGAATCGGAAGAAATAAGTTACATATCATTAGAGTCTTCAAAGAGCTCGTTTCGCAAATTACAGATTTACATATCTGTAATTTGCGAAACGGCGCACTTCTGACCTTTTGGCTCAAACTCTATATTTACAAATCATCACTGCATCGAGTTGTATCTACGAAAAGTGTTATAGAATCGGAAGAAATAAGTTACATATCATTAGAGTCTTCAAAGAGCTCGTTTCGCAAATTACAGATTTACATATCTGTAATTTGCGAAACGGCGCACTTCTGACCTTTTGGCTCGAGCTCTTTATTA